AACCACATCGAAATCTGTAAGTGGTGTCCCTCATCCTGCTATAGGAAAGCAAAACCCTTAAAGCCCACAAAGCTTATGAACTTGAACAGTCAGTGGTGTGCACTGTGCCTATTGAATTTTTTGCATGTGATTAATAACGTATCGATTTGATGTGACACATCTGCAAGCCACTTACAACGCACGTTAATGTCAGACAGCAATCTCTGTGCTACGATAACCGAGCAGTGCCCCAGTGCAGGGAAGAGAAATAATAAACTAGCCATTTAGTGAGGCAAATGTGCAATAAAATGTATGAATTCATTATTTCAAAGTAATTTTTTCTTGGGGATAAAACATTCCACCCTCACCTGTTTTTTCAACTAATGCTAAATTTAGCCTTAAATTTACTGAGTTTACCAATGCTGGTGTTCGGGGCTTTCTCTGAATTGAAGATTACTGTACTTTTTCAGTATGTTTTCCAACTAGGTAAAAAACAGATATATGTATAAGATGACATGTTTTTGGAAAAGCAAGTGAAGTTTTCTATACCCACTAATGGCTTTGATCAGCTTTGTAACCAGGCTGTTGCCATACCTGCCTAGGCCACCTGCACACAAAGCCGGCGTTGTGTTTGTACTGCTTCTATCCATTCATCTTAATTTAACCAATAACTGAGGACAGGTTTCTATCCCACCTGCGGCAGCTGTTTAAACATGTCATACAGTCCCTTATCGCTGCAAATCTAGATCCCAACACCATCGGTGGAGGAGAACAATCCTCCTCCTTCTTCTTTGTTCCTGTGCCGCATCTGCATAACACCTGAGTTTTTTCTAGGGTACATTAATGGAAGGAAGAGGTGTGCAACACGGCACTATGGGTGGGAAACGGCCAGCCAACGTGCACCAGGAAAACAGCTACTGCATGCAGGCGATCAGCAGTGTCAGCCCCATTACAGGGCTAGAAAGCCTGAGAAGGTTACAAAGCCCTGAGGACAGAGCCACGAGCTCTAAAACTTAATGATAGGAGTAAGCTACTTTTGATTTCAGTCTTGACTCCTCCTTCATGCTGACAGTAATTATCAGCAAAAATATGAATCAGTGATGGAAATGAGCTGTAGACTTTTAAGATGTGGAGCTAAGGTGAAGCAACGAGCCTCGCCGCTGCACCGCGGTACTCGGGTGCTCGGCCCGGGCACCGCTGCTCGCCGGCCTTCAGCCATCAGAGATTTCCTAAGCACCCCTAAGTTTAATTTACTGTTGTTTTCTTTCCTTCAAGTAAAAAAAATGGAACAGAAACTTTAAGCATATGAAGTTTCACACAGGAAATAAAATCGAAACTACTGATAAGGCAGAGCAAAACAGAGCGCGGGGGGTTCTGCAGAGGATACGCTAAAAGAAGAAGTGGCGAAGCTGATGAACAAGCTCACAGAGAGCGCAACTTTGCAAACCAGGCTGGTGAACTGTAGACTTTCACACACACAAAAAAAAAAGCAAAGCTGTGTAGACACTATGGTATTTATTTGCTTTCATGCAGCTGGTGCCAGGTGCTGGCTTGCACGGCTGGACACTGACATTTTTTGTTTAATCCCAGAACAGCCTTGGCTCAGCCTCCAGCTGCAGCTCCGTCTTCTGAGCTTCCATGGCTGGCCGGAGCCGCTCACCGTGCTCCCGGGGGGCACTTCAGAAGGAATACCACTATGTCCCACAGGCCTCTCAATGGGCATTATTTGATCAAAAATTTGCCATTTTTGATCACTACCCATCTGTTTTGAAGGTCTGAGTTGGAAGTAAAACCTTTGCTATTGACCACTAAATCAACATGCTTTTAAACATCACATGATTTGGGCTGATTCCCAGCCAGAGGTGTATTTTCAGTTTGCTTTCGCCACAGATCTCTGACATCAGCTTTCATATACGGAGAGCTACGCTCGCTCTTATGTCAAGAGATATGAAAACCAAATAGCGCCAGAACAAATACTTCACTTCTCCAAGGAAACTACATATAAACCACTTCTGCATACCACGGGCTGCAAAGTGCAGAGCACGCACCAAGCAGAACAAAACCCTGCTCCCACACACTACCTGGACAAAAGCCCCACCGAATTCACTCTGGAATCGCTGCCTCCGAAGGGAATTTTGTGAGAGCAAGGCTGACTCCAATACAAGAAACAAGTATCTGCAGTCCTATCTTTACACCAGTGTCAATCCCACAGGCTACAGGTACTCGCTCTTCTGTTGGCTTTTGCAGGCAAGCATCCCCAAATATAGCATGACAATATATGAACAACCTGAGTATTTTGCTCCATCTCTTATCTTTTCAAACAAACGCCAGCTGATGGTTTTCGTTGCAGGTCGCTTTTACAGTCCTAGCTTGACTACTGTAAACTTAACCTACTCCTGTTGACCAGTTCAGAGACGCAGTTCATAAAGCTGAACAGTTGAGGATCTTTCTTAGTGCAATTTCATTTAAGCGAACGTGCTTACACTAGATACCAATGTGGCACATTAACCTTTAATATCCAAAGCTGTTTCCATCATAACTACAATTGTTTTTCATGATTTTTTGTGTGTGTGTGCGCAAAAGCTAATTACAGACAGGTGGGAAACTGTTTGCAGTTCCACCATAAATGATGGGTACGTGACAAACAGCTGCGGTAGCCATAAAAACAACTCCATATGTAAACTAACGGTAGAAAGCGAGAGAACTTCCTTTGGTTTACTTTGCTGGATTTTTGTAAGGGAGTGACACGTGTACAAGAGCTATGTGAACTTGTGATAGTTTTGCAGAAGCAGAAACCTAGGTGATTCAAAGTCAGATGTATTGCTTTAAATTCCTCATGTGAATATTATCCGCCTGTCAAATCTGATTTGTCATCTATAGCTTGTGTACCGCAGGAAGAGTGGAGGAGAAGGGACCTTCAACCCTACCAAGCAGCAGTAACTTCTGCTACTAAATTCCCTTTACATGGCACGACAGTTTCTCATATTTGAAAGAGCAACCCTTTATATCATTTAAGGAGGATCTGTACGAGGAGAGAGAATAGACGTGGTTACAGAAGAGGGAAGGCAGCAATCACTAGAAAAAGTGTATGAAAGCAAGTCTGTCCTGTTAAATCTGGATTTTAGAATCCTGCCTTGCATAAAAAGGGACAAAAAAGGCTTTTGGTTGCTCATATTTAGTCTTCCCTCAATCCACTACGGTAGCCCCATTTGCAAACTTTACTTTTGACAAGAGCCTGATGGGAAATAAGGTGTTTGCATAAGCAATATACTTCTTGCTGATAAAGGAGAGATATGGAGAAAAATCACCTTACCTTGGCAGACTTGAAAGAGCAACCCTATAAAACTATTCCTGTATTTCTTTTTCCTAGCAATTGGGAGTTTTGTTTTTTTCTTTTTCTGTAATAGCTAGATCGTTGTTGAAAATTCCCTAGACTGATATGGTGAATCTGAGCGTGGTTTTCCTTTCTTTCAGCACAATTGCAATAATGTTATTCTGACAAAGGACATTTTTTGGCTATGGGCCAACCCATGAAAATTTGCTACCTTATAGAGCTCGCAGATGCCCCTCTGCAGGTCTGAAGCTCTTTGGCAGAGAGCTGCAGGGCTGGGAAGGCGTTGGGCCGAGGAGCAGATGCTCTGTGCAGCATTAACTCCCTCACGTGGTTACAGCCGCACGACGAAACCAGCACGTAACGGCAGAGCGAGGGCAGTTGGTGACTCGCTAAACCCTAAACACCCCAAAGCTCTCTTCAAGGCTGCTAGAGAAGGGGATTTGTAACGGAAAGGGAAAAGAAGGTGATCTTTACTTTTTAAATATCTATTGTTCTGATACAATTCTGCAGCAAACTCTTCAACTGATAACTTCAATTGGCACTTAATGTAAGTTTTGAAGAGATCTCAGGTGAAATCCTGGTAAAAATTCCACCTAATGTCAGAGATACCCAAATCTCACCTCCTAATCTCATCTGAGGTTACCATTTACATCTCGATTTTGATCCCTCGTCAGTAGAACCATTGTAACTTCATTGACCTTCAAGAGGTCGCTCCTGTTCTATGCTGGAATGAATGAGAGTGACTCCAATGGGGAGGGAGGAGTTAATGACACACACAGCAGAACGGCTGAATCAGAATGGAAACTGGGTATTAAACAGAACCATAAAATAATTTAGGTTAGAAGGGACTTCTGGAGGTCACATAGCCCAGCCTCTTGCTCAAAGAAGGGCCAACATCAAACCCAGGCTGGGTTGCTGATGGCCTTATCTGGTCAAGCTCTGAAAACCTTCAAGAGTGGAGACTGTTTAATCTCTGAGCAACCCGTCCTACTGCTCCACTCCTCTCAGGGTGAACAATTTTTCCTTATAACCAACCTGAATTTCCCTATCGGACAAAGAAAGAAGATGAGGAGGAAAAGGGAGAAGAGGATTAACGCAAAATGACAAGACAATACCAAATGGAAGGCTCAATCTTTGTATTCCGATACTGCACGCATACAATACAAGCAGTTGGAAAGGAAAAGACACAGAGGGGGTGTGCGGTGAGTGACAGATGGGTAAGCTCCAGGTTAAGTACAAAATAAGCAAGAGTCCCTGGTGGCAGCATATCAGATGACACTCATTTTATTGTCAGAGTAAAAACATATTCCTTTAAGAAAACCAAACAAAAAACCCTACTGAATGTTACAATGCATGCCAAGCAATTATTGCTTTCCACTCTGTGTCCTGTGACTCACTGTGCCCAATAAATTGGCATATGGTGCTCATTCAGGGTATGTAACTCACACATTTGCAATAGCTCTGAAGAGCTAATAGTTACTTGGACTGTAGTTAATTTGGGGGTTTCTTAATTTCCCCATGGCAATGCAATAAACGTCATGCTTATTATTGTATTATTATTATTTAAAAAAAAATGTTTTTAGTGGCAGGCAAGTGCCATTAAGGCCTGAAATCTCTTGCATGCTAGGGAAATCAATTCAGACAACCTCTGGCATGCGAAAGCACATAAATAATTGGTAAATACTACCTGTGGTCTTCTGGGTCCAGATTTGCCTGATGCCAAGAGCAATCAACTCCTTTTTGGCTGCAAAGGATAGGAGGGCACTCAATACCTTGCAGACGGCACTCAGTACCTGGCAAAAATCAAGCTTTCTGTGTGCCAGCACCCCATGAAAGAGCAAACCCTGAAGTGCGTATTGCAGACACGGTTATCTTCTGAGGGAAGGCAATCTCCTAGAGAGACAGAGCGCCAGCTCTCTATATGGTGCTGAATACTCTCCCTGCCTGGGAAAGGTGCACTTCCTAGGCTCACCCCACTTAAAAAACAGCTCTAACTCTCTTATCGAAGAAGAAAAAAAACCAACAAAGCATCTGTCTTTCCGTGAGTCTGCCCAAGAGCAGTAGTAGACTGGAAATCCAGTTTTTATCATTAATAGGACATCAGAGATCCTTAAAAGCAGGGATCGAGCAGCGGCAGAAGAAACTGTGTGCGATTACAAGAGAATTCTTCTCCTGTAGTCAAGATTACTCAAATAAGCCAGGGCTACATCATGACTTGTGAGTACCACCAAGAGAATACGGCTTCAGAGTGCTAATGGAGCTTTCCATCATACAGAGATGATTTAATGGGGGGGCAAATCCTATATAGACAAGGTCTACGTAACACTTGTATATATTTGAAATAAGTCCACTGAAGCCAGTACTATTCATTAGCAAAAGTGGATCAGTAAGATAGAAGTGGACCACTGGGATTCTGCCCACATGGGGACTCAGAGCTAGAGCAGAAGTGCCATGGGTTTCAAGGTCAGCAGGACTGATTCCTGAAAAAGGGGGTCTGACTTTGATCCCGTTTATACAATGATAAAGCAATAGCAATGCTACTGGAAACAACAAAGCTATGCCAGAGTAAATCAGTTGAGAATTAGGCCCTGAACCGGTATGTCTTTGCAGCTAATTTCACAGGTACAAACAACACTAATGTCTCAAAATGTGACTTGGAAGGAAAAACATAAACAAACATCTCAGCCTACAGCTCTATTGCGCCCTGATCCCCGAGGAGGCAATTATTCCCTTGGTGATGTTCTGTACAGACCAAATACAATGACTGCCAACGCAAATATTTTGTTCCTGGGTTTTTGCTTTATAAAATGTAAATTTGGACTGCGTGGCCTCAGGTGTTTTCTTCAGTGCTGAACACAGCAGGTTCCAAACAGCGACCGGGGAATTTGGCCATGACCTTAGCATGAACGGCAATGTTGAATCATAGAAGAATGCCCTGCTCTGCCTATTTCCTCAACTTGAATCTCCTCAACTCTTTAACTGTGTGGAAGACAGTTGAAACTGTGCCTGAATTAAGACTGCCAGGGTCTGACCTGCACTCTTTTACTGTTATTCCCTAGTCTTTGCTACTGCTTGCAAAATATTCTCCATCTCCTCAGAAATATCTTTGATTTATTAACGTGTTTGTTGCATCTCGCTTACCTACCTTCCTCGAGCAACGTACTCGAGAAAGTGCAAAAGTACGTAAAAATTAAGTATAGCTCAGACCTTTTTCCAATCAAAAGCGGTATTCATCTATGCAGAAATGTCAAAGTCCTCATTTCACCCAAGCAGATAAAACCAGCGTTTAGGTAATAACCACCTTCTCCGCAACGCAAAGACCCTCCCTCCAGAGAAGGAAATGCTGCCTTTGCCCAGATCCCATATGCCCGTTCTCTTGTTGGTTAATTCATGACAGTGTTAGCTAGATTGTCATTACAGGGTATTATTTGTAGCTGCTGTTTTCATGAAGCAGCTGTAATAAACAAGCGAGATTTATGTTCCTTTTTAAATCGCTTGATTAATTAGGGTTGTTAAATTTAGACTCTGAAAGAACCTACTGATTTCTCTATTTTTTTTAATAAATATGGAAGCTGCAAAGCAATCTATTACCACCACTCAGGCTTGGGCCAGAACCGTATGCACTCCATATACTATCCAAAATGTGTTTTGGATGAGGAAATAATCTAAGTTCTCCAAACAATCTTTTAAAAGTAAATGATGGTTGTGCTGAATTGTTTGAACAACTGCACTGTGTGTTATTCTTCTCCAGCCCTCCAGAAAGGACTTTTTTTATTCCTAGTCTGGTCTATACAGGTGCAAATGGGCACCCTGGATCTGGATCACGCTGGTAAGCTCAACGGAAAGCAGGACCAAAACTGAGACCCAGAGCCAGATCAGATTTTTGGAGCTGACTCCCTAGCTTGACGATTTATTCTGCTTCCAACTATCATAAAAGCCCTGACCCATGTCAGGCATTCAAATACCAAACTCAGAGCTTGTGGTTTGCTCTCATCTCTGCATCATTTCCTTTTTCCACTCATTGCCCCACAACCACAGCTTGCTGCATGGACAGTCCAGATACTTATTTAAAATAAGTAAACACGATGCCCTCCCCAGCCCGATTTGGCCATTTCACAGCTACTGCTGCATCTCAGAGCCTGATCCTTCAAACCTGCTTCACGACAGCATCGGACAAACATCCTCTAAAAAGCTTTTCAATCATAGGTGTTTGGGTTTTTTTTTTTTGTTTGGTCAGTGTTGTGATTCGTCAGCCCTACAGTGTTTTTCTTGGTGCGGGTACCACCATCCTGGCAGTCCAGGTTTCCTCAGTGCAATGGGAAAGACATGATGAAATACCAGAGGCCACGACAGAAATTAGCCTTAATGGTTCTACAAGAGGGGCCTGATGTTGAGCAGACGTTCAGCTGACTACAGCTCTAGAAGAGGTGAGGAAAAGATGATCTGCTGTGGAAAAGACCACATCGTGCCATGCATAGAAGCGATACAGCAACAATATATTAATTGTATAACGAGAAAAGGTACAAAATGAAGACAAGGAGAAGGCTAAACCTGTCAGTTTTTACATTATGAACTTTTATAACTAGAGGAAGGAAAAGTTACAGAAGGTATGCAAACAAGAATGATGGAGCTGGGAAAGGAGTCTGGAGTAACGTGCAGAACACCGTTGTAATAGGTATCAAAATATAAAATTCTAAGTACTTCTTTGCTCTATATGTGACAAAACAGTAACAACTTCTATGTAAATGATAAAATCCCAGGGCATTAAAATAAATACATAGGCATACTGTCTTACATCATTCCTGGGTAAAATAAGTAGGTGGCATGCAATGGGATGGGGATTTAGTGCTAGGAAGCCTTACATCTCAGGAGATCAGCGACATTGCCTGAGGAGCAGCTAGCTGCAAAGCCATGAATCCAAAAAAGACCTAAAGGTGATTGCAGGTAAGATTAGCCAAGTAATAGAGTTTCTCTGTGTGATGCTACTGAGTGATGCAGGAGAAGGGTCAAAGGCTAAGCTATTTCTGGATGCGTACGTATGAAGGGATGATATGGAAATCTAAAGCATAATGCTATGTCAAAACAACCACAGTGGATACAGTATGAGCTGTTCAAGTCTCCACAGATTAGAAAGGAGATAGAAAAATTAAAGGAAATACAAATAAGGACAATAAAAATGATCTAAGGAGAAAGAGAGCTAAATTAATATGGTCTATAAATGAGAAGACTCCTGGGCTGAGATCCAGCTATAAATACCTTCAAGGTACTGTGTGTAGAGGAAGGTAATTAATCTAGCTCGAAAGATAGTAGGACAAGAAGCAATTGCTTGACTTTAGGAATGGAAAAATTCAGGATACGTAATAAGAAAAAGTTATTTGAAGAGACACATCTGCTGAACAGGGCAGACTCCCAAGGTGGTAGCCAAGGCACACTTACTGTATGCAACCGACAACAGGCTGAATAAGGAAGGGGCTCTGGGAAATGCTGCCGTCGCAGCTTTCTACAGTCCAAAGAGATCACCACAGTCCAACTTATTGATCTTTTAGCCTCTTTCTTTATGGGTTATCTGAAAAACTGCTCCTCTATTTAAAAAAAAAAACCAACACCCAAACCTATACATCCATGTAGTGACAATACATCCACACCAGAGCTCAGAAACAGGGGTGTGCAGCACTCCGATGTTCAACGCAGGCAATGACAAAAACTGCTGACCCAACCGGCAGATTATTCTGAGTATCTCAACACCAAAGGCAAAGGCTGAAGTGGGAACTACCTCTTGTGATACTCATGGTCTTCCCCAGCCTTGTGCTAAGGGATCCTGCACAGAAGCGTTTAATGTCACTGCATTAATTATGTACTTTGATTTATGATTAGCTGAAAACCAACACTAGCAGTATTTAACAATCCTCAGGAGCTCTAAAATACACTTGCGTTAAGAAAATAAAGTAAAAATCCCCAAACATTTGCAACAGGCCTTACAATTTTCAATGACAAATGGGTATACGCAAACGTGAGGAATATAAAACCCAAGTACCGTTATACCCTCCCTTAAACATATCCCATCCCAACTGCACTCACCAATCGGGACTTCTGTCCCCTCCTCAATGTAGATGGGCAGTGGTGATTCCTCCATAGGATGAGGCACTGATGGAAAGTAATGAATCGTGGTAGTATTTGTCGCAAAGTGACTACAATAAGACGGTCCCTTTCTTATCATTACAACTACATATGGCTGGTTACTGTCACAAAGAGTCCTTTCTCAAAGTGGTCACCTCCTGTCACGGTGACCGGTCCAAGTCACAGTCCTGAGGGGTTAATCCCCACCGAGCCTTCACCGCCACAGGAGTCAACCCCCTCTGAACGGGGCCTAGGAGAGGTCCCTGTCCTGGATGCTTCACGATCCTGCCATTTCGCTATAGCCTCGCTATTCCCATCCCTGGATTTTAACTCTCTTTTGGAAACTCACACAGTTGAGGAAGCCAAGGGGAGCCAATGCACAGACAGGCACAAATAGAGTTATCGAGTCAAAGTCGTCACATCTCATGCACAGAACCATAAGAGAGAGGCTCTGATGCTCAAAGCTTGCCGTTAGCTGTTGAAAAGCCACAGCAGGTGATGGAAGGCTGCACCGCAAATGGCCTCTGGACCACAACCTTTTCATTACTCCTTCATTTTGGAGTATATACATCAGACTTAGGAAGCTCCCGATTATTTGTCTGTGATACTGAAATCTCCAGACAAAACCCTTCAGCTCTGCACTGCACACTTATTCTGCAGTTTCCAGACACCATACAGTCACTGCTGTAGGGTTCCTCTGTTTGGGTTCTTCCCTATTTGGGAGCTTCTTCCCTTAAAGGTGGTTTTGTTGCACTATTTCCCATTTAAAATCTCCGGGAAGCATGTGCTTCACAGGCTTTTCAAGAGGTTTGAATTTCCTACACTAGAATGAAATAATAATGAGCTACAAATATTGAAAATGGTGATAATCAAAAGCCTTCTGGAATTTTTCCTTCTCCGTTACCTTTTAAAAATGATGATTTACCTTCTCGAAGATACAAACTCTTAACTAGTCTCAGCTAGGATTCCAGCTGCAGGGAAGGATTCTTCTTTAATCCTTTCTGGGGTGTCTTTCACTAACTACTGCCTTTTTTTTTTTTTTTTGAAAGATTGTCTTATAATATCCATAAAACCAGCCAAAGAACACTTGTGGTTCAAAGCTATTAAATAAAGCGTCTTACAATGTTTCTGCTAGAAACACAACCAGTATAAAGAGTGTTTTCAACAGATGCTTGACTAGCAACGGGCTTAATATAAACCCCAGAAGGGTCCTTTGCGGGATGCAAAGGGCTGCCAGTTCCCTGCCTTCACCTAAGCCCCCCCTCGCTCACGTGGAAGACGAAGGGAAGCACAGGGGAGAGGAAGAGCAGAACACGGTTGCCTACAGAACTACCCTACAAGCCACAGAAATCATGGTCTACCGGGGCGCCTTGCACAAGCCACTGTTATCTAGAAGCTGAACTAACATTCCAGCTCAACAATAGCAAAAAAACATTTGTTACCGCACGGCGTTTTGCTACATATTAACCAGCAGTTGCTACGCAAGCATAATGGAGTGCTGCAACTCCGAGATATATGTTATTTTTCAAAAAAAAAAAAAAAAAGAAAAAAAAAAGCTGACTTATGGGAAATGAGCCTGAGGTGAGCGCTCGTGGGCTTGCCATGCCACTGGACACAGTACATGCTGGGAAGTTATGCAAAGCGGGCCCTGCATTGGGAACAATGCAGTCATTTTCCTTGCTAAGCTAATTTTGCATTAAGGCAATGAGAGTCTTCATCTATGCAGCCCCTTAAAACATTTAATCAGATTTATTTACTAGGAAGAAATACCAGAGCAGAGCTTCCTATGCTACTCAAGAGTTTTCAGATCTGAGATCTGCAAGCAAACCAGGTCACTAGATGGTGTGGAAAAAAAATGTTGTATTTTTATGACATGCAGCTTTCTTGGTCCCATGAAGAATACTGTACTGGGCTCACCCAGACCGAGCAGTCAGTCTGGAGCCAAATGCTTTCACAAAACATTTGCAACAGTATTCACCGATGGCTGGTGGCATTTACACTTATTTTAATGGGTATCACCACAGGTTGTAGAAAAGGCCTGAAATACCTACATGCTATTTGAGACCAAATACGCGTATACGCAGTCTCTCTTAACCACACGTATACATGCACACACTAGTACACATGCACGCAAACAAATGGCTCTATAGGCAGAACTTGGATTTTGTAGGATCCAAGGCAGAGAAGCTGACTCTTGTCACAGGGTTTGGGATTCAGGGACTCTGGGGTGCTAAAACCAGCTCTCACTTATGGGTCTCCTCTGCTTTGGGCAAACCACTTTTATATCATCCCTCCAGGATTTACACACCAACTTTATGGGCACGCTGCTTAAACCTCTGCAAAGTGCTTTGCAATGGTTTCTAAATTCTGCAGTGATATGCACAGAAGAACTGCACAGGTAGATTTAAGATAACAGTTGCTGAGCATTATTACTGTATAACTACAGCCTATTTTTACATGCTCTATACTTGGTTTCTAGGAACAGATGGTAAATGTTCAGTATTTGAACATTTTAATGAGCTTTATAACCTTTTTGTAATTTCATAAACAAGCATAAATAACACTTACATGAAGAAGAGTCTCTCCTGAATGGATTTTCTCTTCCTGTTTGGGAAAAAAAAAAGAGAAAAAGAAAAGGCAAAAAAATATTTTAAAGGAAAAAAATGGGTCTAGCAAGATAAGTCAGACATGTTTCAATGTTATCATGCATAGTGTTTTCTGAATTTCATCAGTATGAACTTATATTTTGAAGAACATCAAGACACTGAACGTAGTACCAATGCCAAAACAGATCATTTCTCACCTGTTCTGCTCTATATAAAACATCACAGAAAATTTGACTATATCCATCTCAAGAGCAAGGAAATTGCACGGCAGCAGTGAAATAAAATGAAAATGCCGTGTGATCTGAAGCAAAAAAGGAAGAACTTGTAACTACATTCCAGCTCACTGATAACTCTGTGGCTTGACGTATGGGCTGCTCTCCTACCTACGGGCAGCCTGCCTACACCGACACCCTAAAGTAGGGCACTCCTCCTGCATTTTGGCACAGTATCATGATTTTGCCACACCAGCACGCAAGCACTGACTGCATTCAAAGCCAGGTCGGAAAGCCACAGCAGCGAAGGCGTTCTTCGAGGCTGTGACCATTCTGGGCGACAGAGAACCACAACAGGAAACCCAGTAACTGCTAAAATGCACGAGCCTTTGCAACAGCTCCTGGGTCTTAACAGCCACCCTCCCGCGGCCCCCTGCCACCCGCCCTGCTGCCTCCCACCCAAAGCTCGCTGGAGCACGCGGATTCGATTCGCACTCCCCTTCCACCAACCCAGCTGGCGGGTTTGGTGGATGCTCTTGGAGCTGGGTTTAGGGCCGGCACTGAGCAGCTTTTTGGTGGTGTCAATCTAGACACATTGGAAAAAACACGAGAGAGACTGATATAAATACAGAAGGCACGGCAGGACACCAGCCACGCTTCCAGAGTCACAGACTGGCAGCACGGTAGCCCTTCCAATGGCAGTTTTAGGGGAAAAAAAGGACAATGAAGAGTGGCAGTTTCACTTAATTTCTACCACATTATCTTGTATCAATATTAGCTACTCTGTAAGCAATTTAAAGGGTATTGCCTGGAGTTTACATGCCTGGGGATGATACTCAGCTAGCACAAATCAATTAAATCCATGGCACTACAACAGCTGAGGATTCAAGTAAGAATGCGTGTATGGAAGAAATTCAACAAATATTAAATCACTGCATTTTCAGCCTCACGCTTTTCTTCCAAATGCCAAGGACCCAACCCTGCAAGCAGTCGTCGTCCCCTGCCCCAACTGGCATCAGAATAAACTTGAGTTCTGTGTATGGAGCAGTTAGAGGACTGGGCTCAGGATTACTTTAGAAAACATAACCCTGATCCATTCTGGTCATGTAAATTAAGTTAGCGATGAGAAGAAGTCGAAGGCACTAATCCTACCAGGTAATCTATTCAAAGCTGCGCTTCTTAAATGATCTACAATTTATTAGTATGACCAATCAAATAAGCATTACTTGCAAAAGGCTTTAACTACCATGGCTTTCCCATCCATTTTTATGTGTTGTAATATGGTTAAATTTAAAAGAAACAAATCAGCATAATCTTTTCAGAGTCATTTGCTGGCATGATTAAAAGCCTGGGTAGGGCACCACTGTAGAGACTCCCCTTACTGGTGGAACTGGCAAGGTTGCCATAGGGGCGCTGGGGCAACATTGCCCTGTTGCCTGTTGGGGCAAAAATACAGATTATTGGAAAAGCTAGAAGGGGCAAAATTAAAATAATAGGGGGTTGCTGCTGAGTCTTGAGGTGCATTGATGAAAATCCTGGGAGCATCACTGCCTGGGGAGCAAGGCAGCCTGCTGAAGGGCTTGTGCCGGAGAGTCTCTTTGGGAACACCCGGCCCACAGGACTTGGCTAGAAGCCACGAAGATGTAGCTCAGTCTTGGTTAGGCAGAATATCGATTTAAGGAAAACTCACTGAAATATTTGCAACAATTAGCTGTAAGGCAAGATCCTCCCCGAGGCTTTACAAACAGAACTGTGCTCAGGCGCGGGAGGTTTCCCAAGCACCGTGCAGCAAGAGTAAGCCAACCTCAAGCGTCTTCGTATCCTTCCGTGCCAATGTTGCATCTCCTCTTTTCACATGGCATTTCACACAGACTGAACCCTCCTGCCACAGCCCAAACATTTCACCTCTGGCATTTAAGAAACCTCCAGGCAACCCACCCAAGAGCTACAAATTAGTGACTACCGACAAATTTTGCTCCTGGTTACAGCAAAGTAAAATAAAATATAAATTGGTGGCATTTGAAGCATTCTGAATTTCTACTGGATTCTAGACCGATATCCCAAAACAAACAAACAAAAACCCCCAGGATTTTGATCTAGCACCCCCAAGCATGCAACCACCTTCTCGGTACCTCCGAATGTCACAGTGCCACCTGCAATCTCCTGCTTATTGCCAAGTATGACAGCAAATAACCCTAACACTGCACAGGAAAGGATGCGGGTTAATGAATGACAGCAAGAAGCGGCCTTTCCCCCCTCGGCCCGCCCGCAGGCTGGGGGTCCAGGTGCCGCCTCACCCGCCGGGCAGCACTGGGACCTCAGGGAGAGGGAAAGGTGGCTGTCGCCCTCCAGTGGGTGCAGCCTCAAAGCAGCCCAAACCATGAGAGAGGTGGGAAGAAACAGAGAAGGTGAGAGGCAGGCAAATAGAGGAAAAAAAAAAAATAAAATATGCAAAGCACAGAAGAGACAGTTGAAGAGGAAACACGACGATGCTATCTCCGAAAGCGCCAAAAATAAAGTTTCCAGTGTCGGTCTAACCAGGGCAACAAAGACATCTCCCGCCACACTCGTGCCTCAGCCTCGACCTACTGCAGGCGAGGGACGCCGTCGCGCCGCTGGCTGCCTCCGCCGCTCGCACATTTTGCTTTAAAAAACCCCAACAACCTTCAGGGGAATCCTTCCGTCATACTCGAGCAAAGGTAGGCAATGCCAAAAAGCAGTCAGCTCGCCCGAATGCAGACCCAGAGGTAAACACCTGGCTGTCAAAAAACCATCAGGGTTTTCACCAAAGCCTCTCCCCTCTGAATTCCACAGCGGCAGGTTTTAATGGCCTGATTTACCCTCAAACCCAAAGCCATAAAATCTAAAACGGTAGCAACTGTCATCCAAGCCCCAAATATACACCGCCGATGACATGTCCCCCCATCAGGGCTGCCTCACTTTTTTGCTAGTCCAAAACTCGAAACATTTTGACATGCAAGCGTTTAAAAAAAAAAAAAAAAATGCAGTTACCAAAATAGCACTATCAACGTAACCAGCTCCTCTTGGCACATTTTCTTAATGCCTTTCCCAATACGGTTAAAAAAATGGGAACTAACCAAAAAACTCCATCTTTACACCTTGGCACAAACCGTGCTGGAATACGTGTGGGGTTGTATTTCTTCGTGTTTCTCTGGATCCTCTCCCACTACTGTTTTTCATCGCTGCATTCCTTTAAACGTAGCTCTTATTAACCAGCAGAAATCAGCTTTTACAATTTCTAAATACAAAGTTTTGCCACTCTCGGAGCTGCCTAAGGAAAACACAGCTTGCCTTCTGTTTCATAAATAACACATACTCTGCACATTTCTTCGCCTGTGTGAAATAAATTCTCCCATGTTCTTATATGGAAACCTTGCAAGTCCTCCCACATGCCGCCTGTTATAATATCAGGCAGAGATGGGCATTCATTATCTTAAAGCCAGCGGGTGAATTTTGGATCCGAGTTACCCTGAGACGAACCCAGAATTATCGCCCCTTCGCACCAAGCTGAGCCCGGTAACCTGCCCTGTGCAGTCCCTGCGTTTTTCTTCCAAGCCCCAATCACAACTTTTGATTTCAGCATGCCAAGGATCACCCAAATAAAAGGAAAAACGAGGCGGGGGGGGAAAGAAAGCAGCAGCCAGCGGTATTACCCACCAGGTAGGCCCACTAGCATCAGATGTAGCACTGCCTCTACCAGGTTAGCGCACGGCAGGCAGAAAAAATACAGCAGGCAGAGGTGGGAAGGCGAGAGAAAAAGGGCAAAAATAGCCGAGGAGGGAAGCGTGCTCGGTAAATGTGCTGGAGGGCCGCCAGCAAGTGGGTAATTGCTGCAAACTGTTACCGCGAAAAAAAGTTAACGCAAGGTGGGGGGGTGTGGGGGCGTGTGAAAATAACCGCTGGAGGGAAAAAAACCCGCGGGGGGAAGGAGACAGC